AAAGCCATTGCAGACTTTTTGGTGACACCCAGTTTGTCAGCCGATCTACCTCAGAAAGGATCTGGAACAGCTTTTATGTTAAAACATCTGTTGTATTTATAAACCTGCACTGATGCTTGAAGAGGTGTCTGAAAAATGGTACGTGCCATTTTTAGATGAAGACTGAGAAACCCGGTGTATATCATGTAGATCATATACTTCATGTATCATCATAAACACCATGTATCATCATAAAATACTGAACGGTGTCACACAGCGTGTGTATCTTTGCACAATGTCAGGGATCAAGGTTACAGATAAAAAGGCAGGAGCTGGTAAAAGAAGATTCCCACTTCTATTAATGTTCACTGATCAGTATGTTTGGATATTACCCTTTAGATAATTCAGTTGTTTGTACAGAGTGACCCAAGTACTTACAGTCAGGTTTTCCTTTTTTTATTGTTACAATCTGGTTCTTTTGCCTAATTACAGAATTTCAGGATTTCTTTTTCTGAATGATTCGAGGGTTGACTTGCTGGTAGAGAATTTTGGCCAGACTGATAGTGAGAGATTCAGATTTCTTTTAAACTGGATTCTGTAAACCGATCAGAACCTCTCCATAAGCAAGCTGAAGGAGAGTTGAATGCATCCCAACATTTTTCTCTGGCAAAGACCCTAGGATTCTGTTTTGCTGCTGCTGCTGCTGCTTGCATGGGAGCTGGCTGCTGATTGTGGACCAGGAGCCAGGGGTGGTGTGGGAGAGGGTTTGGTGAAGGTTACGCCTGCACTGTGCAGTAGGAGCAGAGCTGTGGCACCGATTTGCTGGTCCTGAGGACCCAATGTCCACGTGGTGGTATTTTTGAGGTGATGGACTGAGCTCTGGTTTGGTCCCACACGCTCCATGGGTTGCCTGGGGTGTGCTCCTGGATTGCTGCTCCAAGTGTAGTTACACCCTGAAGGAAACTGTGCTCTGCTGGGAGAGCTGCTGAGCTGAACTGCAAATCGGTGCAGGCACAACTGGTAAATGCTCCTATGTCTTGAATAAGTACATGGAGATCATAGGAACAGGCTCTTGGAGGAAGTGGCAGCACTAGGTCTGACTTAGAGTTAGCTAAAATCAAGGCCCACTAAGAATAATACCTGTTAAAAAAAAGCCTTTTAGGGTTGTTGACTTGGCTTCAGCTACAGGAGATAATGAGGAAGCTCTTTCTCGGGCTAAAACAAAAAGAAAAAAGGAGTCTGCATTAAAACCAGAGGGTAAGGTGCCAGAAATACTGTTTTCTCTCTCCAGGATAGCTGCAGATGTTTTGACATAACCTACGATGACTAAGCCACTAGAGTCAAGAAGTGCCTGCGTATGGAGAGCATAAAGCAGTTACAGTCTTATACTGGTAATCTTAAATGTTTTTATTAAAATAAAAATACGCTCCACCCACCTTAAAATCAGGACCCAATTGCACACAATGAAGACATTTCCTAAACCTTGGAGCATGTGCTGCCAAACTGAGGACTTGGTGTTAAGTGAACTGTTACGGTGAGTGTGGGAGCATAAAGGGGGCAATAAGGGCACTGTAAAGAAAAACTGCTTCAGCTGCTTCTTACACGTGATGTTGTTTGCTACAGGCCCATTTTTGAAACGCTGGCACTTCAGTAAATTAACAGATTTCTGCTTCTGAGCTCTGTTGTTCAGGTGTCTCATAAGAAACTTCAGTTACAAACCTAAACAGACTTGCCACAAAATGGGAGTTTTGAGAGTGCTAACACAATTAACTTTGTAAAGTTGTTTTATTGAAGGAGAAAAGCCTTTTAAAGTAATGTTTAGTGTTGGTTTTTGTATTTAATGTGACAGCCTAACATAGCTTGACTTTGAGAGTGCTAACACAATTAACTTTGTAAAGTTGTTTTATTGAAGGAGAAAAGCCTTTTAAAGTAATGTTTAAGTAGTGTTGGTTTTTGTATTTAATGGTGACAGCCTAACATATTTTGACTTTGTAGGCAATGATTTAATTTTTTTTTTACCTAAATCTGGGATGAAGGAAGTTAGTTATAAATAAGCTTAACAGGTTCAAGCTATTCTGCATTAATGTGAACAGAGGATAGTGCTGGAACAACACTACCAACCGGAAAACTTCCCAATTCCAGTTAAGCACATTTTGCTCCGGGTCATATTGACTGCTTAAAGTGTATGTAAACGTAGTTTGAACTGATCTGGATTTGTTCATTCTCCTCTATCATTTCACTCCTCTGCCCCAATTTGTATTCCTGCCCTCCAGCGCAATGTGTTACTCACAAATCTCTCCTCCTCCTGCAATGTCAGGCCAGTGCCTTTGCTCTTTGAAAACACGTTGTTGCCATTTCTGCAAATCATGGAAGAAAATGGCATAATCTTAAAAGCTATTGCTCTGTTCCCTGCATTCACTATTCATATTTTTCCCTTTCTGTCTCCATCCCCTCTCCTGAGCAGTTTCCCCAGGGCTGAGGTACCTCCCATCGTCGGCGGGCAGCGAGTCTTGGCCTGCGTTTGCAGCAGAACCGTGTACGTCCTGGCAACCCCTCGCTGTCGTTTCAGGAGAGGATTACCTCTGCGATTGTTTTTACATAAACACCGAGACAATCATAGCTTTTCCATGTCAGTTCTTGCTGCTGTTTTTCCCTCCTTAAACACCAAGTCAATGAACAGATTTTTAATTTGTAGCTGCTCATTTTGTATGGCTTTTTAATCTCCAGAGGCCAGATGGAAGTGTGATCCTTCAGCATTGCTTGCTTTGCATAACGCAGGGATTGGAGCTACACTGGAATAGCACATACTCAGAGTTGTGTAAGTATGTAAGTATTTTTCTCTTCCATCCTTGTATTTTCTCTTCTAACGCTTTGGTTTGGCTTTCTTTAATGACAGTTTTCTAGAGGGAAAACTGCCACGAACAAGCAAATGCTGCCCTGACAGAAGAGTCTGACACAGAAGAAAAGCAATGATTTTGGTCAAGGAGATTTCAGAGAGAAATGACACTCAAGTGGTGAGTTCCTGAGACAGCCGATGACTTACTGTGGTTTCAGGGCCCTGAGAAAACTGCAGTTACACTGATCTGGAATGATGAGGTGGTTTTTGGTTGGTTTTTTTTTGTCTTCTTCAGCTTTATTTCGAGCTCTCCTACAATCCTAATTTTGATTTCAGTTGTATTTATGGATTCATTCTCTGCTGTCAGACCGCAATCAATTGATTGAAATCCATAAATAATATCAAGTTTCAACTTGAAGATGCAGTGACAAGATGCTATCAGAAGACGTTTTACGTACTTGAGCAGCTTTTTATAGCTAACCCTCCCCTGGAGTCAAATCCTGACACGTTCGGAGCCCTGGGAAGCCAATGGCTTTCCTGCACGCTTGTCAAAGCCCATGTGACAAATCCTATACGGGAACGGAAGGCGAGGACACCCGCGCACCTGTTTGTGGAGGGGTCACATAGAGTCCTGAGATGTATTTTAGCATCTACCAGTAAGCTGAGCAACTTGACCTGCTTTAAACCCTTCGAAGGATATGTGGTATTAAATTAACTGATACTAAATTAACAGGAAAGAGGAAAAAAAAAAAGACAAACTAACATGAAAAAACACATTTTATTGCACTTAAGTTATAAGAAAATAAAATTTCTAAGTGAATCAAACCATAGACACAATCCCTTTAAAGGTTGTTTTCCTCCATCATGTCAGGTTGTTACAGAACTAAAATTAACCAACTGGAATCTGATTGTTTAAAATCAGACTATAAATAAACAAAAACAACAAAAAAAAAGGAGGAAAAAAAAGATCGCCTAGGATACAGTGTTAAACCACTTTCACAGTTCAGCTTGAGTTGTGGCTCTTGGAGAATGAGGCAAACCATTTGACTCTTGCGTTTCTCGGTTTGTTTGCATGTGACACCTTTACAAAAACCGCAGTTTTTGCTCTGTCAGTTCCTCCCAGCAATAACTGTAACAGCTGTTTTTGTTTTTCTCTCAAATACTGTAAAACACTAAGACTGACCAGCAACTTTATTTTCGTTTTTGTGTTTTATAATATTTTTTTAAAAATTTTGTCAGTTTTTTTCACGTATGTTCATTCCATTCACCACAGCCCTCACAAAGAAAAATTTCCCCACAGAACAGGCTGCAATAGCTTTGTTCTAAGGAATGTGTTTTAATTTTTGCCCAGAAGAAAGAAAATAAGCTTTGCACACACACTCAATTCTTTATTTGCAGGCAAACTTCACTCTTTAATTGTCTGAAACTCTTCCACTCTCAGCCTCTTAGAGGCACAGTTGGCTCAAGTTTCAGTGGCAAAAAGTCTTTTTTCTGTAACCAAACTAGAGCAAATTTGGAATTCAGTCTGGGACTAAAACGTCACAGCAGAAAAAAAAATAAAAAAAAATAATTTGCTTTTCTTTCTTTCATTTAGCAGCATAAATAAGTTTGGCCACTGGGAATACAGTACAGGGGTGGGACAACGATCCCGCAATTGAAGACCTACTTCTAGCACCAGCATTGCGAATTAAATCCATCAGAGGACTCTCAAAACCCAGGACAACTTGCCACCTCAGAGCAACTTATGTGTTGAAGAGTGTAGATGGAAGCAACAGGAAATAGATTAAACAGAGGCTAATACTGTGATTGACATTGGCAATGGTTGGCAAAAAAAAGAGGAAGAAAAGGAAAAAAAAAAGAAAAAGCTCTGATAAAACTGTACAAAACAATTCACAGTAATATTTTTAGCTTTTCCACACCAGGAATGGACTCTTTGTTTCTGGTTGGTTGTGTTTTCTCATTGCAGATGCTCTCTATTTGAAAGTCCACCGGTGGCTGCTGGAGGAGGTTGGACGGGACGGCTGGAGGGTGTCGGGTCCAACCCCCGGCGCAGAGCGGGGCGAGGGGAGCGCGTTGCTCGGAGGGGCTGGGGGAGCCAGGGTGCGCGAGCAGCTCGCCCGCGCAGCTGCTTTGTGGTGAAAGAACCCGGTAACAACAACTGTAACAATTAATTATTTTTTTTTTCCCCACTTCCAAATTACGCGAGGAGCGGTTGGCGGAAAGTAAAGAATTAATTGCACCTGGTTTAATTTCCAAAGTCGCGTTTTTGCAAAGCTGCCCCGGTCAAAAGTGTAGCCTTTTTATGTGACAAGACAGCAAATGCCTCTCTTGTCAGTTATAGTTTGTCATCTTTGTCTTCTCCTTCGTAGTCCGTAGGTCTTTAGGATCTGTTGCCCCAAGCCAACATCCTGCACCACCAAGGACAAGGGATTTTTTTTTTTCCTTTTTATTTTTTTTCTTTTTTTCTCTTTTTTTTCAGGGGGAGGGAAAGGAGAACATCGTCTACACGTTTGGACAAATTCATCTTTCTGCCCTTCACTTCATATCCACGTCAAAGTCCAACACCAGCAGCTTTGTTTCCTCAGTCCCGTTGCGGCTGCCGACTGCGCACACCAGCTTTGTGTTAGAAGCTCTGATCCGCCACACGACACCTCCGCTTCCTCCGCTCTCCAATGTGACTAGGTTTCGGATAAATTCACCCGTTTTCAAGTCCCAGAGTTTTACAGTCCCATCATCTGAGCTGGTAATTACAAAGTTCTTGTTGAACTGTAAACAGGTCACAGCACTCTGATGCTTGTTGGGACCTGCAACGGTAAAGCAAAGCATTTTTTATTCGTAATTAGAAAGCAGTGTCAGACAGCACTGCGTATAAAATAAAAACCTAGTTATTTGCATACAGCTTTTTCCACGTAAATGTGTTTTTAACTCAGTTTCTGTGCATTAAAAGGTACAGAAGCCTTGCTGTGCTTTCAAAAAGTGAATGCAGGTACAGAAAAATCGCCAAAGATTTCCTCTTTGTTACAGCGATCTCGTTTTGTTGTCTACAAACAGCAGGGCAAGCGTGCACTTGGACACTCGTGAAGATGAACTTAACCCTCCAGAATGAGGGGACCGCGGTAAGTGTTGTCTCCAAGTCCCTTTGAAGTGTTGTTATGAGATCACTCTATCAGTAAATATTGAGTTATGTATTGACATATAAACATACACGGTTAAAACAGCAGAGTTTGCTTTACAGTGAGATTTGATTTTTCTGTTCCAGCCAGCGATGCTACATTTGATAGATGGGAGTGATCTAAGATGTTTTTTGTGGCAGCAAACAAAGTGACGTGTTTGTGTGCATGAGGCCTGAGTGGCAACTGCCAGAATGGAAATGGAAATCTTTCTTCTTACTGAAATAAAGAAAACGTCTTCCCCTCATTTCTCCTGATTTATTACAACAGACAGCGTACTTTGCCTCCCGATCCAATTAATCAGTAGGCTCTGAAACATCCAAGTGACCCCTAAATAAATACATTGCCTGACTGTTTTGAGATGTCATTTCCTACATATTTCTGTGGCTTATTAGGCTAATACACCCGTAGCAAATTACTATCAGTCCAGACCATCTGCCTTTTGTAATAGGCAAGTGATTTGAATAGATTAGATTAAATACATTTTGTTCTTCTAATTCCGAGAAAGATCATACAGCTGTCATCAGAAAAATATTTAAGTCGTAAGTGGTCCCTGCTTGTTTCTTTGTATGCAATACTGCAAGTTTTTTAAACAGAACCTGCAGCGTAGATTACTGCAGGCAGCTTGATTTACATGCAGGCAGTTGGGGCTCACCTTGCAATGTCTGTAAACATTGTCCTGTTTTAATGTCCCAGATTTTGACTGTAGAATCAGCATTCCCAGACACGAGTATATTGTCCTTGAGCTCCATTCCGCTCGTGAGAGACTGGTGGCCTGTTAGCGTGTGAATGCAGTTGCCCGTCTCCACGTCCCAAACTCGGATGGAAGTGTCCAGAGAGCCACTCACCACATGGATACCATCGAACTACAAGAAAGGTAAATCTGTTAGAAACTATTGCATTAGGTTCTTACGAAGGCTATTTAAGTCACTAAATGCAACATTAGATGATACTTGATGTATTCAGAAACTGCATTACAAAGGAAGAATTCAGAGAGGTAGAGATGGCCACACTTGGTATCGGAGCAGGTGACTCGTGGTCCATGTAATTCCTGTTGTAGGCATGGTCCATGGGGTACGCAGTTTGAAGGGAAAGACTCTGACCCGCTCCTCCTTTAAACAGAACACAACTCTTTCCAACACAGCAGACTCCGGTCTATGCCACAGCGCGCAACAGTAAGAGAACGCTGTTTTCCTAATAAAGATGTTAACAAGCCAAACCTGCTTTTCACAAGTCAGAGTGGCTTGAACCTGGAGAAGGGCAACAACATTTATCCAGAATCATCTACACAGAAGCCAAAACATAGGAAAATGGAGGGAATGGGATTGAAAAATACTGAATTTAGCCACTTTATAATCATCATTGTATGCAGTAAGGAACTTTAACTTCCTATTCGTTGTTGGGAACACAGATGTCCACAGATTCTTGGATTTTTCTGAGCATATACATAAATAAAAATAGGGAGAGAAATCAGCTAAGAGCTAAGACTTTTGATAAAGAAGACTGAGCATGTAGAGAATATAAAGGTGGAAAGTAACTTGGGTGACAGTGACAATGGCATAAGAACCTAGAATTCTCAAAAAAAGGAAGGGAAAAGGGCAGTAGAATAAAACCAGTGGGCTTCAAGGAGGAATACTTCAATAAACTGAGACTTCCTTCCCACAAGGTTTGTATGTATCTGCTCTCCGAGGGGAAGAAGAGTTCAGGACAGTTGGCACTTTCTTAAAGACACAAACTATCCTTGTGTGAAGGAAAGATAGGAAGTGTAGTAAATTACCAAGGCCCACTTGGCTAAAGCACAAGGAATTGTACAAAAAGTAGAAAGCAGATCAATAGATGTATTTAAAAGAGCGCACTGGGACAAAATCAGAAAGGCAGAGCACAAAACAAGATAAAACGAGCAAGAGCCGTTAAGGATGCTAAAACTCTGTTCTGTAAAACAAGAGGTAGGCCAAAATACAAAAGCTCATTTATGCTCAGTGGGAAGGAAGCGCTGAGCCAGGCCAGCTATTTAACTTATTGCTTCAGTCCTCAGCCATCTGAGTGTAGGCTCACAGCACTAACACCACTGACAACCACGTACGAGCTTCTGTGAGAATGGGCAAGAAAAGCCACATAAGGCAAACCGTTTCAAGACAATCCCAGAGACATCTGCTGCTATCGTTGAGAACTCGTGGAAGACAGACAAGTTTCAGACGGCAAATACAATTCCTTTCTTACTGAAGGAGACGATGATGGGAGCTGGGGAATCGGTTAGATCGGTCGGTCTAACTTCAATTTCCAGAAGGCACTAACAAAGAATCAATCTGGTTGTAAACCCTTACCATTGTGGGAAGCAGCGGCAAACCTGGATTTGTGGGAAAATGATCTTAACTGGTATTATTTCTTTTTCTGTGACAGAGTAAAAAGCCCCGTGAATCAATCAGCAGATGTCTTGGCTGTATTTTAACATCTGAGGCAGGGACACCATCCCATTCAGAACTCTGTTCACTGCAGTAGTAGAGATACCAGGAAGACTTCCAGGGGGAAGGTGGGGTCTGGCATTTACTACTTCACTGGGATTTGGGTGACATTTGAAAGGGCAGAACTGACCCAAAGCAAAGAGTGTAAAAGTCAAGAGAATGTTGTGAAGCTCTGAGCTTGGCAGGGAATGAATGAATGGACAGCTGAGGCCTAGGAGAGCGAAGGCTGGGCAGAGGAGGCAGAGTTACAGCTAGAGCAGGCCCACACAACCCAATTAAGGGAACTCCACCATCTGAGCCCGTTTCTTTTTATTAAACCTGCAGGAAACTCACACCTTGGATCTCTGCAGTCAAACATGGTTGAGCATGGCACAAGGAACTGGCACATACAGACTGCTGACCTGCTGTATGCATGGCATTTCTGGTGGAAATATACTACAAAAAGACACCCTGATATCTGAAATAGGGGTATGCTCTAAAAAAAACCACTTTTCAGTTCTAGTAAGCATTGGTAAGACTTTGGAATTTTGCATGCTGTTCTGGGCACCCTGCTTTCAAAAGAGGAACTAATTTGAGTTCAGATAAAAGGACAAGGAGGGCTAAGTATTGCAGCAGACTTGTTGGGTGGAAACGCTACAGAATGTTTCTCTTTCCTAAACAGAACTAAACCAGATTGATCTAACAAATTTTGAATTCTTTCCCTCTTTCCCACAAATTAATTAATTGTATTCCATGTACACAGCATATACAGAAAGAGAGCTTTAAGGCTGGGCAGCAAGACAAACTTTACTCTGATATTGCTATAGTCAAACAGACAACAGTTTGGCTCAGTGCTTGAGCTGTTACCCACAAACCCTGAGAAACTGCATTACTTCAAAGGCAGCTCAGAAGAAGTAGCAAACAAAACCACAGCATGGTCAGCAGTCTTCAACTGCTGTGTAAGGATCTCCGGAAAATGTTGGGGGGGGGTGGGTCTACAAATGGGGAAGGACTGAGGTGTAACACAGCCTGCCATGGAGTGGGGCTGGGGGGAAAACAGCCTGGTTAGCCAACTCATGGGAGTTGTGCCGGGTTTACGGGGTGTAAATGGTGTCAGTGTGTAACACAACCCAACTATTTGATCCATTATTACTACAGTATCACAACAAGACATGAATATTCATAAGCCAAAACGAGAGCCCGTGGTGAAGATAAGGCAGCATAACATATACTGTTCCCAAACTGCCCTCCATGAAACACAACCCGTGGAATAATCTTTAAGAGATAGACGGGTAGGTAGTACAGCATTTTGAACTTGTTTGCCGCTTGTCTAGAGAATACTCCTCAGCATATGAATGCAAGAGAAGGGCTGGAGATTTCTGATAAATTTTACTATGTATTTTGGGAAAGGAAACCAATTAGGTATTTTGTTCATATTTCACCTCTTATGGCGAGCTACGCCTTATGAAAGACACACTTTATGAGAAATGTCTGTAGCACTGAGCTTCACTTTCTGAGCCACAAACCAGCGCAGTTATGTGCCGACTGCAATTTCCCCATTTGGAGCTGTCTTTGTTAATTTCTTTTTCAAGCCCTGCCAGATTGTGGTGAGAACAGGCACAAGCATGAAATTAATTTCTTTCGCCTTTCAACGCCTGGAAGTGATGCTTTGACTCTGTGAATGAACAAGACGAGCTTTTGGGTTAGTAATGGCAAGAAGAGCGTACATGAAGTCTACGTGCAGCTTTGCCGGCTCAGTTCTGATGAGCAGTCGGGGGAACGGTGGGCAACAGAGCCCCACCACAGAGCAGCACCAGAACGAGCTGCATCTGCAAGGATGGGTCTCTGCTGGCAAAACCTCACAGCTGTGGATCTGGAGGAGGTAGAAGACTGGAGATTTACATCGGGGCATTAAAGCTTTAGGTTCAGCCTTACTGTGAATTACAGTTTTGGAACTGGAAGATGGGACTACAGAATAAGGATAAACAGTTCTGCATAATTCAGAACATTAATCTAGTGGGGGTTTTAGTGCATTTTCAATTACTGTATCATCTGATTTATTTAAAACAGTAAGTTTAGAATTTCTTTGGGGAAAGAAAAAAACTTACCTCCAAAATGCATTCAAGATTTCCAAAAAAATCCCAACCAAACAACCCAACAAGCCAGAAAACTCTAAGCTTACCTTGCTGGTACAGAAGTTTGGGCTTAATTGTACCAGGTACCTTAAAAAAAAAGCTCAGTCTCTAAATTAAGACAGCACGTAACCAGTGTAACCAAAGAGTTACATGGGAGTATCACAGATGCCTCTGTATTCTTGTCGCCTCTATAATTTTGAAGTAGATACCCACAATTTAATAAACAAAGTGAAATAAACCAACTTAAAATGTTACTGAAGGAAGCTATAAAGCAGCAGATGAACATCACATACCTGTAATGAGTAGACTCTGTTGGTATGTCCTTGCAGCGTGTGCAGACATGTCTCTGTCTCCGGATCCCACACTTTGACCATAAAATCATATGCACCACTCACAACCCTTCTGCCGTCGTACTGAACGCACCGAACTGCAGCTACATGGCCCATCAGAACGTGTAAACACTGGCCCGTCTCTATGTCCCAAACTCTCAGCGTAGCGTCTCGAGATCCACTGACCACTCTGGAGAAACATGAAAGCCCCTCCTGTACTTAGCATTGGACGTAAAAGTATTAAAACAATTCGACTTGGGTATAAATCAGTACTGAGTGACAATCTGGGACATGAGATAGCTAGCATTAGTCCACCAGCCACCAAAGATCTGCTTTGGCTTGACATTTCATTGGGGTCGCAGGTGACTTGAGTGTTTTTCTTCCTTGCTCTACTCACCTCCTCACGATTATTTGCTATAATGAGCAATCAGTATTTAAAAAGGTACTTAACTCCCAAACAGCAAAATGATGCCATGAGAAGTGATGGGGACTGCTGTATCTACAAAAGCTTACAAATATGCTGAGCTCAAGCCGGTGCTGTGAGCATTCTGTTACAATGACTGAGTGAATTAATTATAATAAATAAACAACGGCCTTTAGAAGTTTTACTTTCAGTAAAGTAATAGTTATTCTGCTTCATTTTTTCAGTTTATGCTTTTTTAAAAGCTTCTTTAGGCAAGAACAGAAATGAGAAGGAATTCATATTAATAGAACTGGTAAAGAAAACCCTGATCACTCTTCAAGAAAGAAGAAATGCAACCAACAGGCACCCTGTCAACTGCTCCATGCCACAGCCAAGTGACAGAGCTTTGCCAGTGTTTGTTGAATCAAGCCATGGTCTACTACTGAGGAAATTATGATACACTCAGTTACAATTTCAATAAAATACTGCAGTGATGATACTTACAAAGTCATTCTGTAAAATGAGTAAAAGTTTGTACCATTGACAAAAGGGAGAAATTATTCAGAGTGTGGGAGACGGGACTACAGCGTAACGAAGAATTAGTTTTGAAATAACGTAGAATGTGACTTACAAAGTACATGACTCAACTCATTAGTACTCTTACGCTTTTGCTGCTATTCATCGTCTCCTCCCCTGTGTTTATTTATGGAGTTCAGTTTGCTCGCCCGGTGTGTGTTCCACTCAGTGCTGGATGAGGTACCCAACTTCACCAGGCATTTTCTGTGCACACAGCTGTGTGTTAGAAGCCAACCCATGGCCGTAGCTTGGGACAAAGCCTCACCTTTTCTCGTGGAGATGCATGCAGCGCACGGTGGAGGTGTGCCCATACAAGGTGTGTATGCATTCCCCAGTCTCGGCGTTCCAGACCTTCAACGTTCGGTCTGTCGACCCGCTGATGATGATGTTGTCCCTCATCTGCGATGACCAGACTCCGCCTGTGTGCCCGACCAGCGTTCTCAAACACTGGAAAGAAACATTTTGCTTAGTTACCCTTCTGACAGAGGTGAATGGAAACTTAAGAAATTAAATAATCTGGGAGGTAAGAGCAGACTCTCACAGCAAGAGCCAGAAGACCCCTGGAGACTGCTTTGTGATTGAACTAAAAAAAAACACCCCACCTCTAAGAAAACACTCATCAAATTTCCCTCTCCACTGTTGGTACTCTGACTGTAAGGAATTCTCCCCATAATCTTGCCCTTGATAAGCTAAGCTCTCTTGCCAGATTTCTCAATACAGGGCACGTTTTGCAGCCCTGAGTCATTTTCCTGGAATTTTCCTGAGTCACTGCATGTTTTCCAATAGCTTTTTGAAGCATGTCAGAACTGGAGAAAGCATTCACTTAGTAGTTTTACCACCAATCTATAAACTCTTGTTTTTTGCTGTTTGTTTGTTTATCCAAGAAACATCACATTCTGTAAGCCTGAGCTCCAGCATCTACACTACAAAACCACATTTCAAACCTTTTTTTTTTCCAGACTTGACTGTTGCCCAGGAGGGAATCCCACACCACATGAGCACAGCCTACCTTCTCTGATCCCAAACGTAAGAGCTGGTTTCTCACCAAGGACAAGACAGTGTTTGCTCACACCTGCTCCTATCAATACTCCGTTGCTCTGAACAATGCCATGTCTGTGTCTCTCAGCCCGTATTCCTCACCAGCACCGACTCTATAGGCTTTCTCACCAGGCAGCAATAAGTGCTAATTAGCACAGACAAGACGAGATCCTTGCGAGACCCCTCCAGAAAGATACTCCATCAAGATTCTGCATTTACGGTAACGACATGATCTCTATAATTACCCACTTCCTAACCCATTTAAATACGTGCCATGTTGATTTTTGCGCTGCTCTATTTTCTTCAGTCGTGTCATGGGGATGCAGCCTTGCCGTGCACATACCCAGCTATTTCTGCACTATTATTTTTATCAGTCAAACCTGTAACTGCATGACAAGAGAGGTCAAGACAGTTTGATGATCTCTTTTTCTGTAATCTAATGCTAAGTGGCATTAATTGCCATGGCCTTCCTTTAACTGTTAGTTGACTCCTCTCGACATAGTCCAATATTTTTATCTGTGATAATGTATCCTAAATACGCAGTCTTTCAGTTCACTCCACTTAAAGAGTGACACATTTTAGCTTTCTGGCCATCCTTTGGACCTCCTCATACCTTTTGGAAAAAGCCACCAATTTTACCCCATAGGTTACTCTGAAACCATCAAGTACAGCTTCTCTGGCTCAGCTGTACTAAGGAAAACCATAACTTTGTTGTTTAACATCCTTGTGAGATTCTGCTGAGATGTTGCATTATCACTGCACGCTGTATTTCCATCACATGAATTTTCTCCCAAAATAAATATTTTTTCTGCACCACCGACAGTACACTAATTTCTGTTGTTAATATCCTGTTCTTTCTAACACCCTTGAAAATGCCTTGCTTTTTTTTGCTGTACACAGATTTCCTGTTCTTTAACACTTTTTACCAGTCTTCTGCAATTCCTGGCTCCTATTTTAATTCACTGCTATCAAATCCATCTTTTTCAGTTCATAGCTGTTATTCGCTTTTACAGTTCCCAATTTTTTTTTCAATTTCAACCGATTTGCTCGTATTTTAAGATATCATCCTTCTAAAGCAGTAAGAACAGAGAATCCTTATTTTGGGCTTTACATCTGTCAAGGGAATTATTTAGTCATGTTCATTTGCACAAACCAACCTTTAGGGTATTTTTTATTTTATTAATTCTTCAGCATCAGTAAGCATCAGGGCTGATACAGCACTCTTCCGTCTTTCATAGACAATTTCTGGCTCCCTTAAAGGTTTGGGGTAAGCAGTCACACTAGGATTTGTAATTATTTAAAAAAAAACCCCAAACGGGAATGGTTAAGTCAAGCTCCTATGATCAATTTTATACATTTAAAGGCACACTTTGCTTTTGAGAGGGTGCTATGTACAAAGGAAGTATTTCTCATTTCAGTTTAGGCTGCCCTTTTCAATTAAAAAATGTAAATTTCAATATGGGCTCCTTCATTAGCCAGTTTGTTGTAGGGAAGCCAAGAGAGGCAGGGTGAGGCTGCCTATTGCTTTTAATTTTATTCTTCCCCACAGCATTTACAATCCCATCAAGGATTTTCTAGGCATGCAAAGACAAATACTTAACACATTCAGCTTCGACACTGTATATAAAGTGGCTACCTTTTACATCTCAAACATGATCTCCTCAACAGCTTTCCTGTTGTCCACACAACTCTACCACTACAAACAAGCTAAGGACACACAGTGCAGGTCTAGAAGACAAAGCCACCATTTCCCCGAGGCCGTTTCTATATCCTTGGAGCACGGTCAGTCACCTTAAACCAAAAAAACCCTGTGTGCTGAGTAGCTGTGATAGTCTAACATGAGTGAAACGTTCAGTACTGTCTTTTTGATTGCACGTATTGTTTTGCTTCTCTAAGCCAAAATTAAATCATTGAAGCTTATGAAATTCCTGCCTGAGCTGGGTCTAATTTAATACGAAATATTTAAACCTAAAGCAAGTTACTTTTTTTTTCCTGGTGGCTCAGCAATATAATAGCTTAGAAAGAAAAACAAACTCTGTACTTGAAATCAGAGCCAGTAAAACCAACACCCCGTTTCAATGGCTTGAAAACAACAGAAAGAATGCTAGAAGACAAGTGAGAAAAGGAGCTCCAGAGGGGTAAAAGCAGGCTAAATTAAGCTTTAAGGAAGATAAAGTAACATATCTGTCCAAATTCTTTAGAATCCATGTCACAAACGCCTCCACAAGAATAGCAGAATTGCCAAGAGAACAAGGACATACACCCGTGGTAACACGAGCAGCATTGCAATTCCACATCAAGGTGACTTTTTTGAACCAGACTAGTTTCTGTGTAGGAAAAGACGACCCAAATATTTACCAGTACTTCTTCCGTTCCTTGCACCGGACGGCACCAATGACCACCCTGCAGTGGGGGCTGATGGCACAGTGGCATTTTTGAGGTACCAAAGCCCTACCTGGAGCTCGTGTCCTAAAGAATCCAGCAAAAACAGGTGCCCTACCTTGCCCGTGACCGCCGACCACACTTTGAGCGTGTTGTCATCGGAGCCGCTCACGATGCGGTTCCCGCAGAACTGCAGGCAGGTGATGACGTGGTCGTCGTGGCCTTTGAGCACCTGGCGGGAACCAACACAGAAACGAACCGAATTTAACAGGGAGATTAGCGAGGCATGGGGAAACAAAGCGCTCTTCTGATTCATACATTACAAAACGCCAGAGTTGCTTCGATAGTGATAAGGCCCCTTGATCCCGTGTGTCAACTCTCATTTACCGCCAGCTGGGCTCACAGAAGGAATTTTCCTTCTTCCATGGAGCTACAGTGCACTGCTCAGCGAGCACACTCCAGTTACTGTAACCCTCCTAAAAACACCACGAAAACCCACTAATGACAGTGGTAACTGGACGGTGCTCAGTTCCTCCGCAGTTACTCCATCGCTTGATTTTTTTATTACAGTTGTTTTTTTGCTCAGGCTTGTAAGAGTTGTTTTGATCTTGAATGGAAAAGGATGGGGCTGTATTATTTACTACATACTTGTATTCCAGTGGTCAAGGCTGACTATATCTATTTCTTTTTCCCTATCAGACAAGCGTTGTAATCTGTTCAATGCCAGGCAGCACCGAAGTCAAAAACTAGAAAACCGTTAATTAAATACAAACAAAAGCATCAGTTCAATGTGCTGGAAATGTGGATTGGAATGCTGCTTCACAGAGCTGGCATCTTCAGTGCTTATTTGGGAAAACTGAAATTCAGTGTATTTTACTGCAATACAGCAAAAAAAAGCCCCCAAAACTCCCTTCTGAGAATACATAGGATGAGGAATATTTTATTTAAGGAACCCTTTTCAAGACGTTCACCGAAATGAAATGGGCATCTGGATAATGCCCGGGGCTGTAATTTTAATAATAATTCCAAGATAACTTGATGTGGCGTATCAAGGCAAGAAATGCAGAGCCCTTGCCAGAGATGTACATAAGTCACGGCCAAATAAACAGCAGGATATAGCCATAGGTTTTCCACGGGATATTTTTTTTGTTCTTATTTGTATTATTTTGTTGTACAGTACTGAAGAAAACAGGCAAACTGCCTTAAAATCCTTAAAAGGCTACGAGTACGGGTTTTCTTCATGTCCCTGGCTGCGTGTGCAATACCAGGTTTGATCAGACAGCTGCTGTTTTACAAAAGGTTTGAAGCATTGCTTCATAGCTTCATGTTGGAAAAGATGTAATCACCTATCACTGTCATAAAAAAATTTTAATATTATGAAAACAACAACAAAATCTTAACATGTAATGAAGTTATTGTCTTGTGCTGCTCCACTTAGAAGCGTATGTATAAAAATAAAGCATGACATGATCACAAAATAGTTGTGGAGTGTTTGTACGTTGTGACATGGCCCAGCTCTACAAATACAGACATAAGTATGTATTTATATAGATTATACATGTGTATCTGTTTAACTTTAAATGTAAGTACTTCCAATCGAGTTTCTGAGATTATCTGTCTCAAAGAGACTGGCATATTTGGGATTCACCAAATTGTACAGAAATTATTACAACAGCAGTGAAAGAATTCTGCTGTGTGAATCCCGTTCTGACTTGCTAATATGGTGCTCAGGAATTCATTTAAACCCAGGGTAAGCTAAAATACAAATTATTTTTTTTTCTGTAACAATACATTGCTTTTATGCATGGATTGTCTGGCTTTTCTGAAGCAAAATCCCAACCTGCGAGTGGATCCTTAGTTCATGGCAGCACACAGCTCAGGAGCTCACCTTAGGCGATTTCAGCTCTCCTCGCCGCCAGTTGGTATCAATCCTGTGTTGTCTGATGTAGGCGCTTTTCCACGGACTGTGTATAAAGCCTGGTTTTATTACCTTCCTCCTCTTGATATGTAATGGTTCATCAATCCCTGAAGTGAGTTTAAAAAAAGGGGAAGGGGGAGAGATGAGACCACCCCAACCAAAACAACTTCTCTCCCTCCCAAACCTTTGCAGCGAATACTGCATTGACGCAACTCGCAACTCCCGTGTGCCAATATTTGCACTGTGTCAGTGACCGCTCTGCTCCTCGGCTCTTCACAGTACATCTTTCCTTCTCGTTTAAGCGCAATCATGACCGTGACCATGGCTGGAAACACTCTAGTTCATCATTGCTTGCTGGCAATGCACCAGCTTGATTTTGGATTCTCCCTTTCTGAGGCAATGGAGCAAAATATTGCCTTTTTCAAATGGTTATCGTCCAACAAGGTCCATAACCACTTGTACGCTCACATTTTGGAACCCTTCAAAAGGCAACCTTTCTGCCTGTGGTCCTCCTCTCTGGTCACCCATCTTCATTACCTTTAAGTTCACCATGACTCCTGATACTGGTGAGCTCTTAATTCATTTCTTGATTGAAGAGGCTGTGTGCTTTGGGCATTGGCCTCTCCTGGCTGGAATTTAAGGATAGCTGTGCCCTTTCTGAATTGACACTTAAGCGGCAGTGCTTTGTTCTAGCCTTGCTGCTACAGACAGATCTTTTTTAATCATTCTCTAACCCATCTGTCTTTTCTCTGCTTTTTCTCTTTCCACTCCTCTGCTTTTAGCCCTGCTCTGGTGTCTCTATCTGCAAGTCCTGAATTAACTGCTCCTTCATCTGCCCAAGCACCTCACTGAGTCTCACCAGTCTACAACACTGCTTTGTTTCTCTGTGCTCTCACACCCTGCCATATTTATTTATACTTCTAGGCCCACAATCCCCTCTCAACCTTCTCCTTCTTCCCCTTCTGTCCTCTTCATGCATTTTCACTGAAATTTGTTAGAGAAGAATCTTTAGAGAAGATTTAAGAGGTCACACATCTGGTACCTCTACAAACGGCCAGCTACATTCACATTGTCTATCTGACCACTGAAACAGTTCCTTCTCCATGTTATTTGCAAACTGCAAGATTATACTCCTGTTATTTTTACATCTCAGCTCTTATTTGCTTTGGTTGTATTTTGAATAAAAATAATCCTTAAAAAAGCAAAAAAAAGTATTTTTAAAACATACTCCTATTGTACTGTAAAAAGAGGATGTTCCAACTTAACTCTAGTTTCATTTCTAGTACACCATGGATTATTTCTGCTTCCTGCTTTCGACAGAGATACACACCGCATAGCTCAAAGCATCACTAGCAGTAAGTTTAAAGTCACCCGAATTGCCTTCGTAAAACTTTAAGCTTATTATGTAAATGAGCTGCACTTTTTCTGACACCAACACTTTGACCATCGCATCCATCCTTGCGCTCAGCCTTACCCTCCTCTTTGCATTTCTCTCTCCAGAGAAGATTATCTTCAGCCAGAATTCTCCAGTAGCGACAAGTCTGGGCTGCCTGCAGAAGGTCCCTGGGTTCCAGGAATGACAGCACATACAGTGCCAGCTGGAAAAACAGAAAAAAGACTATTTTCTGCACTGCTTTTGAAAGGCAAAGTGAAGAAACTCCAAGTATTATCACACATCAGGGGCTGAAATATGGAAAATTGAAACAGTAAATTATTAAACAAGCTCAGAAACTTAACAGAGCTCCAGTTTATTCCAGTGGGCACGGGAAGCGTAACAATCATCTTAAGTAACTAAATCCATACGCATCACATCAGAAATGGTTCTTGTATTTCCAAGAGAGTAGATGTCAGCTGAAATCACCATTATCTTTTAAAAATGTAATCCACGCTACTTTGAAGCATTAACAGAATTATCACTGAAACAATTACGCCTATGCTATGTTAGCTAACAAGGGTATCATATATTTTGAGAGTTTAACTAGAAAACACAACGCTCGCCATGTGGGGAAGTATGTGGGGACAAGCAATACCCCTCTGTAAGCCTGAACCCCAAAAAAGGAAATGCTACGTGCACTTGAGTTCGGAAGCACTCCTAAGTGGTGTCACAGGGAGTTTTAAGGACTGAAATAAGTTAACTGTTAACTTCAATGCTGTGCACAAGATGTTACCAAAACCATGGGGGAAATCCCAGTAAGCACCAGAAGATAAACAGGGTGAACTTTTCCACGTGACAAAATTAAAGGTTACTGGGAGCACTCAGACCTCGGCTGACTGAGCTAAGCCATATAATGACCATGATAAAAACCCCCAGATCTCCACAAATACCTTCAGATGTATTGAAGCCTTAAGCTGGGACAGAGGCATCTAAAACACAATCCAAAACATAGGGACAGCTACGCTTAAGGGTACGATGACCAAGCACAGCTTTACTACTGGACAGCAACAACGCATCTCCCTGGTCACAGAAAACAGAAAGGGAAGAGGCAGGGAGATCCCTTCCACAGCCAAAAATCTCTGCAGAACAATACTGATAAAAAGTGATGCAGAGAAGCACTCGCGTGCTGCAGCAGCAGCGAGCTCTCTGTCAGTAACTAACAGGATGCAGAAGTTGTCAGGGAAATCAGATCATCCACTTCTTCTACTTCTGCTTGACATATCTTCTTGCGTTTAGGACTTTTTATTTAATTTTTAGCTGGGGTTACAATGTGTATAAATAGAACCTGCCCTTCAAAGCAGCGCAGACTGAAATCCAGTAAGGAAGTCATAACTGTGGGCTGTTGACCTCAGCAGATTTTTGACCTTATTATGTAAGAAACGTTTACTTTTGGTAACAGACCAGCCAGGGACTGAGCAGGAAATACAAATTCGGTGTGCAAGCACTGCATGCGTTTTGACTGCACGCACACCTTGTCTGCAAGCCATCACCTGCAGCCCACCTTGAGCACACAGGACTGAGGAACCTGGGTCTGGAGTTACGCATCGGATCCCACATGCACCCAGGCCATGAAGCTGAGGAATCTCCCTTCTGCCCCTGCTCAGGGAGTCAGCATTTGGGAGCTGGTGTGGATTATTTTTATTACAATTTCAACAGCAACAACTGTGCCCAGCCTTTCAGACTTTCTGTCTTAATTCCTGGTATGTGAAACTGTTTAAGTGCTGTTTCCTAAGACACAAACAGTCCAAGACTCAAACACGAAAGAGATCCTTTCCGTTTTCGCTGGATGTTGCTTAACTGGCAGCAGAGTTCGTTTAAATATCACTTGTCCCATCTCTACAGATATGGACGCTTGCTAAGATGGTGTTAATTAAAACCTGCGAGCCAACTGATTCTAAAACAGGTTACACGCGGGTGACATTTATTTTAGACTATATTTATCTAAATAGTCATCAAGGGTCAACACAGCCCAGAGTTGACTTTAAGATTAGCAGTGCGTGAGAGATGACGTCCCTTTGGCTCATGGATCTCCTTGTAAGAAGACTTCAGGTAGCAGAGCTCTGACCTTCAGCTCAACTGTGACGACTGCCCGCTGCAGTGTGAATAATGCCCAGTAATAACCAGTCTCTCGCCTTCTCCTTCACTCACTCACACACACACACACCCCCCATTTCTTTGACTGATTTCAGAAAAACTCCCCATCTGATCGCTTCTGAACCCGGTTTTCCCAAACAAGTAATTTCAATAATTATTTCTAAAGTCTCGGCAAGAAAACAGAAGCATTCATTTCAGATTAATTGTTTGACTGCATGCTTCCTCAGGAGAAAAGCAAACATTTTCTCGGTTATTCAGCTATTAAGTTACTGTCTTTGCATTGCTGAAAACGTTTTTGAAGAAGAGCCCTCCTGTCCAAATCATCTCCTCGTTCTGGTTAGGTAATACAATCCCTGCACTGCACCCAAGAGCACTGGAGATCACCACGGACGTTAACGCGGAGCGACAGCTCAGGGGAGCGTGTTTGCACAGGACGCCGGCTCTCCTCGGGATGCCCATTTGCAGAATTACTGACCCTAAAAACCTCCTCCTGCCCCCCGCAGCTTGGTTCGTCATCCCCTGCTGCCGCCAGAGCTGGGGACAGCATTGCTTGGGAGTGCTGGGTGAAGAACGATCTTCAAAAGGGAGAGGAGATGGTGAGGTTAAGTTTTTTTTTGCTTAACTCGGTTAATTTAGGAGTTAGGAAGCTAAAGTTATTTAAGCCAGCTTCCCTGGAGAAGTCAGCCTTTCATGAAGCTCAGCGCTTGACAACATTCTGGTTTTAAGAGGCAAGAACAAACACTAAAAGTAAATTAAACAAATTAAACACAAGTAGCTTACAATGGAGTCAAGAAACATAAATGAGAAAGTTTTACAGCTAAATAGCGCATCTTTTCTGGGAAGAAACTGCTAAAACTGAAATAATATGATCCTTAGTTACAGCACAATTGGATCACTTGTTGTACTTGGATTAGTTTTGCCTCTAAATCATGCAGAGAGCTGAGCTGCGAGTTCCTGTTATCAATTCTGTATTAAATTTCCAGATTTAATAGATGCAGAAGTGGCAAAGTATCTTCTGTCTTCCCAAACTACGAAGTCCTGCTGCCTTCCTCTGCCTCTGAGCCAAGGCTGCTTTGGGCAGCCTCTCTAGGAACATGGCACCCATGCAGAGGTCTCACTCAACTCTTCTTCTCCCCAGCGTCCTTTCCATTTATCAGTGCCATGGAACTGCTTCTGTAAATCCTGACCTCATGGCATGTCTGCTAAGCCAATGCTCACAGCATAAATTGCTTCCAACCCTTACAAATGCTGACCAGCAAGGGACGGTTGTGACACTTCCCAACTCATGACAGTGTATAAAAGAAAAGAATGGTTTTGTACATCTGAGTATTCAAAAACAGGATATACACCAGAAGAAAAAAGTCAAGAAACACAGATACAGAACAGTCTTCAGGTACTAAGGCCACGTTAAACACAGCAACCAAATACTAGCACCAGAATATCTTGCTTTGTAACGTGTCAGTAACCGAAGACTTACAAAGCCTTCAGCCCTCATGAAAATTTTCCTGTGGAAAACCCAACATGCAGTAGATCTGGCAAAAGAAAACAGACTCACTCCCTACTCCAAATAACAAAACAATATCCAATTCCCTAAAACCAATCAAGGTCAGAAGCACCATTTCTAAATGAACTAAAACACATTCATTTAATAATTCACTTATAAACTGGGTTTAAAATCCTTCATATCCACCCTCCTGTTCTAGTTGTGAGAACACCAAGAATTACTCTTCTGTGGACAGATTTTAGTTACACACAGTGAAGAGTACACACACCGAAATCTAAATCTTAAGTTTCTCTTTAACCTGATACAACATGATCGGATTTGCAGTAAAGGATTTACTGTAAGATACTGCTTAATTAGGGTTTGGCTTTATCCTCAGCGAGAAGTGCTCTTATGGGTTTACTTTTGGGTTTTTTGGTAGAGAATTTAGGGCACGGTGTGTTTAAAATAAATTCCAAGATAACATTCTCAAAACTCCCACCACTTAAAGCATTAACCAAAAGTGCTTATACTTACAAAGTAACGCACAGAAAGGTCTTGCATCCAGAGGAAATTTGCGTGTGTGCATGTCCTAACAGAATTAGTTCTCAAGAAACCCCACAATCAGCCCAATTAAGATACAGAGATACTTCTAAAGCTACTGGGACTCTGCTTAAAGGAGGCATCCGTATTTCCAGGTATCTAAACGCCTATTAAGAGATAACGGGACGTTAATCTGAAATTAGAGGCCCTGTTATGGCAGTGCACCAACCTGTGGGCCTCTATCACCAGTTCACATCACCACGGTGGCAAAACCGAACGGCACCACCAGCACGGAAGGTTTTAAAGGGTGGCAGCAGCGCCTGGGCCAGTGTTACCCTGCATTTCTCACCTCTTTTGGGAGCAAGGAAATGAAGTCTCTTTGAAACTGGGGCTCTATCACTTGCATCATGTGTTTTACTTGGGTGGGCTCACAACTGTCAATCAGCTCATCTAAAGCAAGTAACTTCTCTGGTCCACTCCAGCTCTGCAAGGAGAAGAAAAAGAAAGAAACGTTAAGCTTAGTTTAATACACTAGTTAATTTGGTTTATATTAATAAGTGCTGTTGCTTTGCCAAAAGGCAAGTTAAATTTCCTTGTCGACCTATATACAAGCGTTATTATAAAAAGCCAGGAAGATAAATGCTCATGTTAATTACACAAAAATGAGAAGTTAATCAACACAAAATATTCAGAATTACTACAGTGACTCATAAGCTAAGAAAGGATTTGTTATACGTACACATACAGATTAGTAATGAAACAGATAATAATATTTAATAATAATAATTAAATTAATTAAGCCTTTTTTGAAGTAGATGAAATCTGCACACACATTGCTGACAATGAAGGGGTTGCAACAGAAAGCGCTCCCTCTCCGTCTTCTGTGCATTCAAGTGAGACCATAACTTTTAACCTTTGCGTCTCATCTGGCCGACCAAAAACTTTAAATGAAACGAGAGGAAAGGAAAGAAACTTTCTCTAAAAGTCAATTATCTTATTGCCTGCTCATTACTATGGCATGTCCCTAGGTGACGATGCCGTAATTTCAGAATCCTGGCTATAAACCAACATATATTTTGTAAGTATCAATTTACACTTGAACAAACAGAGAATTTTGGTTGGTAATTTTCTTACTTCACATTCTTACTAATGGGCACCATCAAATTTGAAGATTTTAATAAGGCTCTCGTTTGAGAGCAGAGCAGAGTAGCAGCATCATTTGTAGGAAAAAAATTAGTAACTGAAAACACTGCATGTCTGAAAAGCGAGTCTTAAACTCATCCATGCTCACCCAGGACTTTTGATTTGTTATGTGAAAATAATTTAAAGAAAAAAAAAAACAACTTCTACAAGCAAAACCAACATCCACCGCTGATTTGCAACAGAATGAGAGCATGAATAAAGCCTCAGAGAGGAGAGAAAATGTGACATCGCAGGTTTTGGGAGCAGGTTCATGATCTTGAATGTCTTCGACAGTGACATTTACAAGTAAATTAGCACATACAAATGGTGTTACCGTGATGGTAAGAGGCTAACTGAAATAAAAGAGAAGGCAAGGTACCTTACAATTAAGATTTCTGTACTAATCTGCCCTGTACCTCAGGACCTTTATTACTCTTGGTCTCTATTTCCAACCTCCGGATGTGATTCTGACAATTGACCCCCTCTCTATAATACTGCAACATTTGTATCTTGTGAGGTTTCTGCAGACTGAGGCAAGGGAAGGAGGAGGAGGAGGAATTTTGGAAAGCCAACGCAAAGCAGATGAACACCCTGCTTTACTTGATGCAGAAAGATCATCGTGTGGCATCACTTCTCCCTAATTAAAATGTCAAAATACTTTGAAAAGTGCAATTTACCCCCACGACGACCCACCTGACTTTCAGGTGACCCCGTCCCATCGGGGCAATGCGAGCAGCTTGGAGCTGCTGTAATTACAGAGCGAGCACCGTGGCTCACATCCACCACTTCCAAAACTCCCAAGTATTGCAAAGAAACAAGAACGTCTCAGCACAAACTGCAGCAGTGCTGCTACAGACGGCTTTTATCCTAAATCCCTCTCAACAGAAACATTTGCATGGCGGAGCGGTTGTCCATAAATCCCGCACTGAAGAAGCATTCATCTCCCCAACTTTCCAACCGCTGCCTGTTTCACTAACCCAGAGCAGAGCTGGCGCTGGGAACAAACACCTGCAATCTTTAATCTCATCCGTCAGCCGTCTTTGAATTCAGAAGAATTAAACAAAAAGGGGAAGCAATACCTGTGCTACTTCCTCATGATATAAACTGTCGAGGTCAGCCTACCCTCAGTTTATAAACGGCTACATTTATTAAATTAGAACAGCTCAACCTGAGCATTGTTTTCTGCTGTGCAAACACTGCGAGCAGTTTGCACACGTTACTGATTAATAATTCCACTGCACGCTACCTTCATCTGTAACTCTCAGACATCTCTGTCTTTAAAATCTAATGCAGATCCGCACAGGAAAGGGAAACAAAATCGAGAATGGGAAAGATGCTAGCGAATAAAGCAGCGCCCCTTTCATCTGTCCAGCCACCGCCAGGGGATGGCTGCAGGCGCCTTCCTAAGGCTCTTCCTGAGCAATCGCTGCTACAAAACGTTTTCTTCTAGGACACTGTCCCCTCAGTCTTTCACTTAAGCAAACAAACCTCCAGCTACAGCAGTAAGGGGTCTCTGAGGGAAACATTTCGCATCGAAAACTGGGAGGAACGCAACTGTTTGCATTAACAAAGGCAAGACTGGTAAATTAGCCCCATAGCTTGATCTGTTTGCTACAAAAATTGCACGTAGCACACTGAGTGGAGGAGGGACGAAAAACGTTGTGGCTTTGCTGAAAAACAAGTGTCACAGAAGAGAAAAATAAAATACATGTGTGCCACACAGTTTGCAAAGCTTCAAACACCGCAGATGACCAGAGACTCATTTGAGACACGTGGTGTAGGGCGCAGACATCTTGGATTTCTGCCAGTGATTCCCTTTCATATGAATATAATTGTAAAGAATATATTTTATGTCTAAAATGCATTTGTTTAATTGGTTTTCCTTGTCTTCAGAACTTAAGTTTAATTTTAATGTAAAATTAAAACAAAGCCTTTATTATGGGCAGAGGTTCCCCTAGAAAAGGCAACTCCAGGATTCACTCACACACCCCTAGGAAAGCTGGCAAGGACTGCTGATACCGCTCTGAATGATGCGAGATTCTTAAATAAACATCCACCCTCCTTCCCACTCCAGCGAGGTGTTGATTTGTCAGCCAAGGCCTTTTGGCTGGTTCACGCCATTCCCTCATTCAGTTGTGCAGCAGCTGCAACCATGGCACTACTTACCTAAAAACTACCCCTTCGTTACTATGTTTAAGTGTCTGTCTTCTTCAGGCATGCAAAAAAAGCTTTTCATCAAAACAAAGGACAGCTTTGCTGCTTCTACAATGTCCACCTCACCCCTCCTGTCTGACCGGCCACCCATCTTTCTATCATCTTCTTCTTTCTTCCTTTCTTCCATCATCTATGCTCTTCTGTCACACAGCTCTCAACTGCTAGCTCCAACTCGTACAATTAGTTTTGCAGCAATTCTGTACTTTTTTTCTACTATAGGTATTTCTATTATAGGTATATATATATTTAAGACACTAATTTAAAATGTTTTAGTTTCAGGGTGCTGTTCTCCGTGATTGAATTCTGTGATGGAGGTCTGTGGTTACACAGACCTGCAGGGAGGGCTCCTCTGGACCCTGCTCCTGTCTGACTCCTGGACCAGTCACTGAGAACCCTGCCATCCTCCACCTCAGAGGGACCCTGGTCTGGCTAAAAACAGCACAAAAGCAACATCCACTGGAAGAAACACTGTCCACATCAGCAAGGAGTTTGTCACAACAGGAGTTATGGTGCTGCAGACCCCACATTAACCCATCTCTAAACCCAGTCTGGTCCCCAAGGGCTGAACATCTGCACCAGACAGGACATGAACCTGCCCAGAGGAGCAGCCACTGGTTCAGACCCTTACATCCCGCCATGGGTTGGACACGGGCTTCACACAGAGTTTCTTTGAAAGCAGTTTGGTTGTTCTGAGCTTACAGAAACACCAAACCCTGGCCTGGTCCCACAAGAGGCAGAGCAGACACTGCAGTGATGGTTATGATACAGCTGCTGCCGCCTGCTTCACGTCGGAGGTGGACAACTCGGTCTGCACATTTACGCATTCATGAGTGGCTTCGGAAGAAATAGAGAAGGGTGAGTAATGGGAATTAAGTGGCTTAGCCAAGTATTTATGTCAAGGCAAGGAACAGTGAGTACTCTCGCCAGCCAGAAATGGCAAAAGCATTTTGGACACGATCTCAACTGCTGAGAAAAAAAACGCTTCCAATTTTAGGGAAAATAATAATGCTCAATAGTTACTCAAAGTGATTGCCCATGGTTTCTCCGTCTGGAACAACTTTTCAACACCGCTATGTATGCCCCAACGTATTCCAAGAAAATGCAAATTTTTGATCACATTTCTTAGATAAAACCCAACACTGCAAGTATGTGAAGTAGGAAGAATGAAGAGAGAAAGAGAGCTGAATTTTTAAAGCAGTACCATCTCTGACTGAGCCTAGCAGGCAGCCCATTCTTTTTCCTTATGGCAAGCAATTTCTTGACTTAAAAAATATACCCTGCTTCAAATAAAATAAAATTTCTTGTAAAAGAAAAAATCCTGTAAAGATACACTTGGGCACTGAGTTTTGAGAATCTTATAGTGGCCTTTAAAAAGACCTGAAGCCAAGAGTCACTGCAAAACAGAAGAAACAAATAGGCCTTCAAGAAATTAAATGGTCTGAACGCATCAAAATGCTTTTCTGTTTTTCTCTCCAGACTAACGTTTCACTGAAATCAATATACATCTTCATTTTTAAAGGGAAGATGAATCTTCATTTTTAAAGGGAAGGTGAAACTACACTTCCAAATGTTTCTCCTTTTGGCATTAGATTTTTATCACTTTCAAAATAAAAGGCCTGGATCATCTAGAAAGCATAACAGCAGCAACAACATATACAAAATAAATTTTAAAAAACCCCAAAACTTTGTTTTCTTACTATCTGAAGAGTGGTCTTGCTTTTTAAGAGCCCTTTGGGCAGCACCAGCTCCCCTTACTTTAAGAAGGTGCTTTTATCACTTGACTGTTGAAGACTTGACCTTCCATAACATTCACGTGGAAAGTAATGAGGTGGTTTGGCATCAGCCAAGGAGATGTAACACTGGGATGCAGGTACGTGACTTTGAAAGCTTTTGGTTTTAACGCAAGGGACTCCCTTTTGTGAACGCAATAAAAACTCCAGTGACAGAGTGATCAATAAGTGCTGCTCCATGGTGTCCAGCTACGAGAGGCCTCTCTCTCTCAAGAGAATAGATCAGCATTTGGGAACTTAGTTCTGCAATGAGTTATCTTGAAAAGTTGAAAGTATCTAATTTTACGTGTATTAAAGCATGGTTTCTACATTACTAACCCCAAATTTGGAGCCCTAAAATAGTAACAACTTAACTACAGGCAAAATTTCCATGAGCTTACACGTTTCTTTTCCTTATCCTGACAGGGAACTGCTGGAGAGAGTCCAGCGTAGGGCTACAAAGATGATGGAGGGAGTGGAGCATCTCCCTTATGAGGAAAGGCTGAGGGAGCTGGGTCTCTTTAGTTTGCAGAAGAGGAGACTGAGGGGAGACCTCATTCATGTTTATAAATATTTAAAGGGTGAGTGTCACGAGGATGGAGCCAGGCTCTTCTCGGTGACAAACAATGATAAGACAAGGGGTAACGGACACAAACTGGAACACAGGAGGTTCCACTTAAATTTGAGAAGAAACTTCTTCTCAGTGAGGGTGACAGAGCACTGGACCAGGCTGCCCAGAGAGGTTGCGGAGTCTCCTTCTCTGGAGACATTCAAAACCCGCCTGGACGCCTTCCTGTTCCCAACCTCATCTGGGTGTTCCTGCTCTGGCAGGGGGATTGGACTGGATGAGCTTTTGAGGTCCCTTCCAATCCCTAACGTTCTGTGATTCTGTGTGATTCTGTGAAACAGCTGACAGCATGGCTTTCATTGTCAAGCACGTTTGTACCAAACATTTCAGCTTTTCATAGCAATTTTTTAAAAAATATTTGACTACTGATAACAAGCAATCTTATGTGAGAAAGCACACATCGTACATTGTAGATAACAAAACAGCTTTTGTTAGTACAAGGCTTTACCATTACAAAATGTCACCATACACTGTAGTATTACATTATCATATATGCGAAGTACCATTCAAACATGATTCTTAGGGGTTAAAAAGACATGTTTCTATGAAGTCTCAATAAAGATGCACCATAGTAACTAAATGTGAGTATTTTTAAGAAACTGAATGATGTGTACAAGAATATCCTAACTCCAAACTTTCCACTGTTTCAAGCAGATTATAAATGTGTAAAAATCAAGAGGGAAGAAGTCCCACATTATTATTTTAATGTTCAGAACTGACAGTGATTGAGATGGATGGTATGATGTGGCAGCATGAATCAAGCCCAAAGCACGCTTCTGCCTGCAGAATTGTATGCTTGCTACTGTACCTACAATATTGCTCCTCTGTCTCTGCCTGCTATAGAAAGTGAAACAATGCCTGCATTAGTTACTTACTCCTTTTGGAAATGTTTTCAGGAGAAACAGTTTATTAATCAAGATATGAAGACATAATATTTCCATTTTTCAAGTCAATGACTAGGACTCATCTCTGCTTCTTCAAAATAGAGAGCAAAGCTGCACAGGAAAGAGATCTCTGTGGTACAGGTTATGGGAGAGGGGCAGAGCCCTGCCCCAAACTGTGCTTGTATTAATGCACACAAAATTGGCTTAGGTGCTACCAGACTGGTGTCCATGCAGATTTAAGTTTCAATCTGTTCACACCACTGTCCTTCACACCTTTCCTTTCCTCAGATTACATTTTAGGCATTGCTGAAGGCTTTTGGAAAGACACAGAAAACCTCTTTCCCCCTCCCTCCAACTGTGTACACGTGTACTGGCTGACACTGCGTTCAGTACACAAAGATCAGGTAAAAATAGAAACTGAGTTTCCTTTTAATCTATTTTTGCTAAACTTTTCTTTCTATTCTTAGAAGACACCAGACTTAAGACACATTTAGTGTTACACCTGCACTAACGCTTACTAGACTCCAATTAAAAACCCTTCGAGTTCGCTTGAGGCCATGCAGGCGGCTGTGAGGCGCTGGACAGGCTTTGCAGAAAACGTGAAAGCAAACAGGAAGGGTTATTTGATTAAGAAACCAGAAAAAGCAGTTATTTTTGGTGAGTCTCTACAGTAACGAGCTGGAAGAGTGAACAACAATTCCTTAAAGTTGATGCCCATTTGTTTTTGCAGCAGTACACAAACAGAGATATTCTGGGGTGCATCTTCTGCCTTCACTGAGGCAGCCCTTTACTCAAACCATGGAGGTGAGCTGCTTCAGGTGTTTATTTCTCAAAGCGCCGGTTACCTGAAACATTTTCAGCCACTCCTGAAGGCCCGTGGGCGGCTGCACAGATGTAATGCGGCGGCGCTGCTGTCCCTGGCCATTGGCTGCCCTCAGGTCCCCAAAAGTAGTCGGCGTGGCAGAGCATGGCACCAGCCCCGTAGTACTGCAGGACAAACAAGAAGTGATATTCACGTGTAAAACATTAAGGAAAATTTAGAAGTCTATTGCAGAAAGAGAAATCTAGGACAGAAACTGCAACTGTTCCTTATTCCCTGCCCTTCTGGGCTGCATTTGTGCCTCCGGCGTGGTGATGTGGGCAGCCAGGGCTCAATCTCACCTGGATGTGAAATGTGCTGGTGCCACTCCATTGCCAAACAGGAAAAAAAATACACCTATTTTTAGCTCTTAATATATTTTGTTGACAAAGAGCTAGCAATAGCAAGCAGTTCTAGAGGCTCAGTGGTTTGGAATCGCGCTTTGAAATACTGGTACAGTATTTTAAGGTTTGCGTGTTGGTGGAGTGACAGAGGAATTAAAGGGGGGGTGCAGTGAAGAGGGAAAAGGAGCCAAAGGTGCTCCCTGAATTACAGTTTGACTTTTTCACTCTGACGTGTTAAAAACCAGCTCATTCATAGGGGACGGAGCTTCTAAAAGAGCTGGGATTAAGCTGCTATTGTAGGAGTCTAAAGCAATACAGCTGACTGGGTTTTCTTTTTTTTACATAATGTAAAGTACTTCGTTCACAGAATATCAGAGTTGTGTTCCCGAGCAGGAAATGTGGAACTCCAGTAGTGTCTGCACAAGCATGGAAATTCTAAATACAGTGTGGGACTCCAAAACACCCTTTGCTTTTGTGTTTGATAAACCCAGCTTTTTAGCAGGTATGAGCTTCAGAGTTTTAATGACTTCTCAGTGGCTACAGAAGCAGCTTCAAATGTTGCACGGCAGGTTCATTGCAATATTTATCTCAGCATAATCTACAAATATTTCACTCTACTCTTCCTTGTTCTGAAGGACAATCACAGCATGTCCTAACTTTTACCCAAACTGGTAAAGAAAAGTAAGGACTGGTTGGAATAGGCTTATTTTTAACTGTTCATTTTACTGAGTAATAACAGAAACAGAAGCTGGTATGAAAATACTGTTTCACAGATGAAGGATCCTCTTAATGACATTTGTTCACTGGCTGTGCCTGTTACATGCAATGAAAGTTCATCAGGCCTGGAAATTTTAAAGAGTGCCTGATCCTAGGGAAGATGAAAACAAGCAGGCGCAAGAACTGCCTCATTTGTCTAAATATTACTAAAGAAAACATGATCAAACAGCTTAAAAGAGAGAGGATCAGATGTTATTTAAGGACTCTTTTACACCAATAATGACTCAAAAATCCAGGCAACGACAATTGGAAGTATTTTTAAAATAAAATCTGGTTTTACAGCTTACTGCTTCTCATCACCTGTACAGAGATCCAGCACAAGGCCTATCATTTAAGGCCCAAAATAAGGCTCTTAAAATTGGCTTCTATTGGCTCTAAGCAGTATGTAGCCTTGAGCTTGCCCCAGTAGAACAGGAACACTTTAATTTCTTCTGCTGCAAACCGGTTCTCAGTCAAAAACAGTTATTCAAAATGGGATCTAAAAGCCTCTTTCCTTTGACCTGAGATTAAATGACAAGATTTTTGTTCGTGGACAAGCCCAGCAGTTCCTGTGAACCTGCCAGATACACCTGACAAAAAGAGCACTTTCTGTGCTGCCGAACTCTTTACTCTTAGGGGGGTGCAGAGGACGCTGTGTGGCCCCAAAACTGGTGGCCAACAAGAGCGCTCTTCCTTTAGATTGACTTAGGAACCTGGAAAAGATCTGAAAAGCCACCCTGGACCCTGCTTCCTCACCCTATCCTGACTTTTCAGTCACCACCTGATAAAGGAATAGAAGTAACACTGAAGTTACTTTTGGAAGATCCATCAGTGACTGAACACTACTACAGCGTGTTCAGAAGAAACAACGTCTCCAGGCAGTTTTTAGAGGGAAGCGCAATGCTTGTGGGAGGGCTGATGCTTATTACAGGCAAAAAACACCGTAAAAGGGTGTAAACTCAAAGGGGATGGGAAGCAGCGTGGCACCAGAGTGTAATTGTTATGGCAACTACACAGCAAGAACTGCAGTTGTAAGGCGTGCAACCAGGGCCCTGCTCTACCACCGCTTCCCACATTTAGGAGAGCCTTACCCTGCAGACCAGAGCAGCAGCAGCTTTATTTGTGTGATCTGGTCCCCTTCAGGAGTAGTGAGGACGCAGACTACAACCCGTAATAATTTCATATTGTGGGTAACAAGTGCGTGTGTGTTCCCGTTCAGATCAGCCGGTCTGCCCTGCCTACATAAATTTCCATTCTCTCATTCCTGTTACCATAGCAAAGTGATACATTTGATTGCAGTTTGTAATAGTCTTAGGGTTTACCATTATGTCCCTTTTTAAAAATCTGATTGATTTTATTCCCGGGAATGCTTCAGCCTTCAAAAAGTCTCCCAAGTAAATGGGGATGCTAAATTTAGAATGAAACACAAACCTCAACCAAAGACATGCAAGTCTGACTACTTCATTAAAACTCATCTTCAGCTCACGTAATTTAAATTAGAGGAGCAACAGACGAATGCTGATACCACTCCTTCTTTGCTCTACAGTGCTTCAACGTTAAGAGAAGGCATGAGTCAGGCTTGGCAACTGGAGAGAGGGGACACACGCAAAACCAGGACGCAGTGATGTGCTGCTGCACGTAATTACCTTGTGTATTCTGAGACTTTGCAGGGTTTCTTTCCCAGAGAGAAAGAACGGACCTCGGAGCCATGGTCCAACTTCCTCTTCATCTGCAAGGGGAGGGAAAAAGAGGAACAACACGGGTTTAGTTACATGACCAGACCCACTTATGCATCTTTCTGCACAATTCATCCATTTTCACCTTTCGCTTTAGTACCCAATTTCAACAAAGTTGTCGCTCACAAGGTTATTACAAGCAACATTTTAGTTTCTAGCTTCAACAATATTTGATACCCGTTTTACGTGGTGCATGTATATGTTATTGTTGTTCTGGGGTCCAAACCCTATTGGAATTACGTTCTTCTAATTTCCAAATTTCCAATGTTAAAAAGTGCGCAGAACTCCGCCTTGGTTTATTTACTGAACTGTTCTTGCTCTGCTCTCCTGGGAGGGAAGGAACTGAACCAAACCCCTTCATTCTTTGTGTTCAGGTTCACTGCTAAGAGCCTCAAGGAAATGGTTAAATTTTAGGAAGCCTGTCTGCGTTATAAACCAAATATTCACTTTAGGGCCTAAAAAAACCCAATTCAAATGTATTTTTTCTTTTCTCTACCGTTTTATTTGAAAGTTGTACGTTGAAAACATTTCTGAAACTGCAGTAAAACTGACTGGCAGATTAACCGACGTTTTTACAAGAAGGGTAAGGATGAAAAACACTGAACCTCGGTCTTGAATGTCACCCGCAATTAGATATGATCAAGCCCAAATAATGAGCAGGGCAGCTGCTAAGAGGGGAAGCCAGTCTGCAAAAAATCACCGAAGAGATGGAAGCCACTGAAAGCCATATTTATCCAGTCAGACAAATAAAGATTACTCTCTGCATATTTGGGTAATCTTTAACCACAGGCTTTTGGACTCGATGAGACGTACGCATGCCAAATGCAATTTCTGAGTTTTCTGTCGGTTTTTTAAGACGTGATACACCCAAACACTTCAGGCAGCAGCAGGATGTCACTGCTGGTGACAACTGGGAGCTGCACAACGCACAAACTACCTGTGCAACATTTCAGGCTCATCTGACCATTCGCTCCCTCTTTGCTAAATTTCGTATTTAAGGTGCGGTTTGAAAGCTGGCATCTTTCTTACACCACTGATCTGATCTTTTTCAATGCTGCGTTACAACAGTTACTTAACCGTTTATTGTATCAGTCTACCTGCCTCAAAACAAAACACCAAAAAACCAAGAGGATTCTCTAAAGCTTACTGTCCCTATACCTTTGGTGGGATTTTTTGTTGTTGATGTACTTTTAAAATACCTTTACGGCTTTCCCTAAAAGCAGTGACTGAAGATCTCGTGTTTCGCTTCATCGGTGATTACAAAGGGGAGATAACTAAGATTAACTGTTCCCATTTCTGCAGTGCCAGCCCCAACGCCACCAGAAGAGCTTGCCTCGTAGCTGTGTTTTCTGGCCGGTGCCTCACATGGGACAAGCCCACAGCATTTCACCAGGCGAGCACCCAGCCAGAACCGCCCCGAGCGCTGCCAAAACACCAACCTCGCCCTCGCCGCCTCCCCACGCCCCGGGAAGGGCAGCCCCCCGCGCTTCCCCCATGAACACCAGTTGTAAGCACCACTGGAACAGAATGGATACCATCTTTTAGTGCTGTGCTAGAGGAGCGAGACATCAACATTGCTGAAAACGTAAATAAGATGTTCAGGCATGAATTTCAGTATTTGATGACAGACTTTTCAGAAAGGATTTTTTCTCTATTCAAGGAAAATTCTTATTTCCAGCCTGCCTTTCTGAGAGGTTATCGTTGTCATATTCCTCTTCTGCTTCTCGCAAGAGGGAGACACAGTTTTCCAAAAGCACACCTTAAAAATCTTAAGTACGAAGCCTGCAGCAGAATAGGCAGCTACAGTGATTTACTCTCTTGCGTTAGCAAAGAAAACAACATGCAGCTCTCTATACCGCTGCCTAATAACGATTTCACCCATTTCCTTTGGTAGGATTTGAGGGGGTTTTTAGATATTTTAGGGAACTTTCTCACGGGGTCCACCTCACAGAGAGACTTGCAGCATCTCAGAAGGTGCTAAGTAAATACACGGCCAAAACCGTCGTTTACTATGTGAAGAAGATAAAACTTTCTCTACAGCAGAGAGGTCTAGCGACGAGATTCAGACAGCAGTGAGGCATCCGCGTAGCCAAAAATCAAAAGCCGCCGAGCAAACACCCCCGTGAATATTTAACCTGTCGCCAGGAAAACACAACTCCTTCAGACAACGTTTATTTATCGAAATAATTGAGATTGCGGTATATTAAAAAAAAAGAAACGAGGAGGAAGGGCAGCG